GGTGAGGGTGAGGGGAGAAAGCACCCCCCAGTGGGGCTCGGTCATACGCAATCCGCCTCCGTTTTTCCCTCCATTCAGGATTCTGGGCACGCATCAGTATACTTTTCTTTTCTTCATTTTTCTTTTTTATAAGGTTTTTGCTATAGGGCATGTGTGCTCACCGGAAGAGAGACAGTGAGAGGGAAAGTGAGAAATCACCCCCCACTAGGGATGGCCGTGCTGCAATCCTTTCTCTATCTTCTTCTCAGGATTTGGGGCACACAGGCATGCGTGCTCAGGATGATTTCAAGCTGCCAGGTCCGGGACTGACTGCAGTTGGCCACGTGGGAGTCCCATGCCTCTATTGCCATGCCACCTGCTGGCTCCTCCAGTGTGTTTTTCAAGCCACCAGGTTTGGGACTCAAATCCTGCAGTTGGCCATAGGTTCCAGCTGCCTTAACCACCACGCCAATAGTTAGCCTTTTTAAATTTTTTTCCAGACAGATGTTTGCTATAGGACACATGTGCTCATTGGAGAGACAGAGAGAAAGGAGAAATCACACCCTCAGGGGGGATGGCCACGCTGCAATCCCTTCTCCTCCACTCTCCTCTTAGGATTTTGGGGATGCATGCACATGCGCCCAGCATGAGTTTCATTCAAGCTGTCAGGTCCAGGACTTGAACCGTGGTCAGCCATGTGGGAGTCCAGCACCTTAATTACTATACCACCTGCTGGCCACTGACTGGCTAATTTTAAGAGACTGTAGTGAAGGGACTTGAGTGTGGGCATTAAGGAAACCAACATGGGGTGCTGAGGTCCCCTGGAACCTCAGCAAAACTGAGAGCCATTATCGTCCCAGGCAGAGGGGATGGGGTTACATGAGCCACTGAAGGGGGTTACAACAGGACTGCCATCAGTCTTGCTACCGCCAAAACTCCAGTGCCCAGCAGGACAGGAGCTGGGGAGACACCCAGCCTCTCTCCTCCCATCTGCCCGTGCCATCCACTGGCAAACCCAGCTGGGAGGCAGGGGCAAGGGGATGCCCTCCACTCATGGCTGCCCCGGGGCACAGAGCAGGGTAGGGAGTAGACCAGAGAACATCCAGACCAGCCTAATCCAGGAATAAGAGCCATCCCATCCCGAGAAAAGTCCTATCTAAATGCCAGCCAGGAAGTGCAGGGAGTCATTGGGAGTTCCGTAGCCGCCTGGGCTTGGTGACTTTACGGGATAAGGAACACACTGAGGAGGACGGGTGCTCGGCAGGGGCCTCGCAGGCCTTGCGCTGTCTCCCTCCTGACCCTACGCCGATCATCTGTACTGGAACGCGTGCACTGTCATCAGGGTCCCTCTGCTCAGGTCAGTCCTGGCCCTGCTGGGAACACTCGACTTAGCACAATTTGAGTAGCGTTTCATAAAAGAGCCACTGAGATGTGAGCAGAAGGTCCCACACGCTGCTGGCAGTGCCGAGCAGTCACCAGCCCCAGATCTGGAAGAGCTGATGCCCATACCAAGCAGAGCCATGTGGACCTGAGACCCAGGAGGGGAATGAACACCCCAACTTCACTCTCTTCCTTCTCTCCAAATCCTGCTCAGATTCCTCACCAGCTGGACCCAGAGGGTGACACCAACCTCCCAGGGCACAGAGCTGCTGGGGAAAGGTGAGGGGCAAATAAAAGGTACCTAACTGCTGCCCTTGCCAAGGGAGTGGGCAAGACGGCCCAAGTAAGGCCGGTGCGCTGGGTGCTTTCACCGCCCAGAAATCCAGCAGATAGATAAAGCCACAGCCTGTCCTTCGAGCGAGGTCACCGACAGACTGTCCCACCCCGGCCAAGCACTGCTTCCCAGCCCCAGAGCAGCCTCAGCTGCCACCCCCTCCCCAGTACAGACTCCAGCTAAGCCTGGCCGTGGCAGGAGGCAATGACTGAGTCCCCACGTGAACACATTCACGCATGCCCGTTGGGGTCTTCTCAGGACGATGAGGGGCAGAACACATCCAGAAGGCTGAGGTCCGAGCCTGAGCCACGATCACTCGGCACTGTGATTACATGGCCACCACAACTGATACATCAGAGCTTTATTCTCTGCTGGTTTGGGGTTTTGAGTTTTTGTTTTTTTTTTTTCGTTCCTACATTTGTTTGTTAGTTGTGTTCTCCTGCTGGAGACATATTTTATTATTTGTTTTGCTGACCGATTCCTCGTTATTTTCCTTTTTGTAGCCTTGTGCTATAATTAGCTGGCATTTGCTGAAAGAAGAGATTAGGATTAGATTCAGCTGTGCATAACAGGAAACAAAAACAACAGAGGCTTAAACTAGATAGAAGTTTCTTTCTCTTCCATGTAAAAAAGGACCACAGAAGAGCAACCCAGGCAGGCCTGGGACCCATACCTGATTTGTGAGGGCCTCATCCCCTGTCCAAGGTGGGGCTGCGGCCACCGCGTCCTTCAGGACGTGGGGTGGGATGAAAGGGACCAGCCCCTACCTTTACGCTTCCTTTTGTATCTCACTGCCCAAACTCAGATGTGTGACCTCGCCTAGCTACAAGGGAAGTGAGACAATCGGCCCAGATACAAATCAGGACTTTTCCGCTCAGGACCAAGGGAGAATAAGTATTAAGGGACAGCCCACTCTGTCTTCCACAGACAAGAATAAAAGTTGTGTGAGGAGCTGGCAGGTGGTGTGGTGGTTAGGATGCTGCACTCCCACATGGCTGACCATAGTTCTAGCCCTGGACCTGGTGGCTTGCTTTCTCACTTTCTGTCTCTCTCTGGTGAGCTTATGTGACCTATAGCAAATTTAAAAAATAATAAAATTAAATAAGCAATTCTTTTTAAAAAGTGGTATAGAAAACAACTCATCCATATGAAAACGATGTTGATGATAGCTGGTATTTATTAAACAGCTACTGGGACCAGCAGTTAGCGTAATGGCTATGTCGCTCGACTCCCATGTAGCTGACCACAGTTCGAGTCCTGGACCCAGTGGCTTAAACTCATGCCAAGTGCATGTGCGTGCATGCCCAAGATCCCGAGAGGAGAATGGAGAAGAAAGGATTGAGAAGTGGCCAGATCCCCCCTGGGGGGTGATTTCTCGCTTTCTGTCTCTGTGTCTCTGTCTTTCTGGCAAGTTGCATGCACCCTATAGCAAAAACCTCTCCAAAAACAAAAAACCAACCAAACAAAAACGCAACTACTAATTACAGGTACTGTTTTAGGCTGATATGTATGACCACACTCCTGTGAAGGAGGTACCATTACTACCCTCATTTTACAGAGGCGGTAACTGAGGCACAGAGAGGCTAGGTTACTTGTGCAGGGCCACCCAGCTAACAGGTACAGCACCTGGTTTTGAATGCAGGCAGTCAGGCTCCAAAAACCCCAGGACGAGACACACAATGAACAGAGGCAATTTTTTCCCCCCGAGTCAAGGAGGCCAACACAGGCGCTTCCAAATGGGCTTATCCATGGACTCGGAAGTGCAGAGAGGGGACCTGAGCTGGGGCCGCTTCCTCACCTTGCCTCTGAGTATGCTGTTTGTTCACCCAGTCAACAAATGGGTGTTGTAACACACCCTGCACTGTGCCTTACTGTTCAGTCTGTGTGTGTCCCGCATGGGGTGGGGTGGCAGATACTGGACCCTGCGGTCAGCATAAAGTACAGCACACAGTAGGTGCTCAAGCGTTTGTTCTGCGTGACACGTATGCATCAGTCCTACTCTGCGCCAGGTTCCGTGGTGGGGGCTGAACTAGGAGACATGAGGGGCAGACCTAGCCCACTGGCACTCCTGGAGACAGCGGGCACCACAGGCCAAGTCCTGGAACCTTCATGGAGAGAAGGCTGGCACGGCTGGGCTGTAGTTTATGAGTAACGCGCAGTAAGAGACGAGGTCCTGAAGGTACATTGGAGCCAGACTTGAAATTCATGTCCAAGGCAAAACACTGAGCTTCAGCCGTGGGGCAATAAGGAGCCTCTGGAGGCTTAAGCAAGGGTGGCAGAGTGACAGCGACCATCTAGAGATTCTTCAGTGTAGAGATGGACAGAAGGGAGAGACCAAACGCAGAGATCCGTGGAGCCTGGAGTAACAAGCAACCCTGGCAAAAGGGCTGACAGCCTGGGACCCAGACTAGAAAGGAGGGGCTGGGCTGGGTGGCCGGAATGAGCTAGGGACAGGCAGGATGAGAGCTGGCATCAGTAGTGGACAAGGCTGAAGAGGTGGCCGACGGGGCTGAGGAACTGGGAAACTGGCAGAGGGACCTGGGCGAGAGTCTCTGGTGGGGGGCCAAAGTAAGGGGTTTGGAAGGAGTGGAGTGAGGGAACAGTGGCAGCCTGGCGCTCCTGCCAGGAGCCTGTGCGCCAGACAGATGCGCCAGGGAACTGTGGGAGGGGAAGGCGGGGCGGAGGGGGCCGGAGAGGGGGGCTGGGCAGGGGGCTGGAGAGGGGCCCGGGCTTGTGCTGGGGCAGACAGAGCAGTTGGATGCCTGCAGCCTTGTGCTCATGGCTCAGAAATGTCCCAGGCCTGCCAGGAGACTGCCTGGCCCCTGCTGGCCCCGTCTCCCCACCAGCCCCAGGCTCCCACATCAGGAGCTCTGAAGCAGCTCCCCACCCTGCCAGCCTTCTGCTCCCCAGAACTAGCCTTCCCCCCCAGAGCCCAGGCACACCTACACCCTTCTCCTCACCCTCAGTGGATGACAAAACACAGGCTGAGGGAGGAGGGGGGGTAAGCAGCGGCCTGC